GGCGACTTCGACGAGAGCATCGATATCAATACTATGGTCAACAACGACGCGGCCATCCACACCGGGGAGGCTTCTATGGAGGCACTAATGTGTCGTCCAGTTTTTTGGGGCGAAGCCCGAGGACACGGGGGGCCTGACCAGACGGTGTCCTGACATGCGCTTGATGGTTGGGAACGGCTAGGTAAGTAGAAAGGGCAGGCCGCCATTCCCTCCAACTACAGCTCCCCCGAGCGGCTCGCTAGGACCGTATGGTGCGCCGTCGCCTACAGCATCAGGGGCATCGACGCCGGCGCCGCGAGCATCGACGCCAGCGCCGCGAGCGTCGACGCCAGCGCCGCGAGCATCGACGCCAGCACCGCGGGCTTCGACGCCAGCACCGCGAGCGTCGACGCCAGCACCACGAGCATCGACGCCAGCACCGCGACCAGCGACGCCAACACTGCGAGCACCGACGTCGACGCAGAGGGCACCGATGCCCATGCCTAGAGCGCCGGCGCCGGCGCCGAAAATGCCGGCACCTGCGCCGATTGGACCTCTTTTCGTTCTACCTCCACCACCTCCAAGGTTTGACGCTAGCAGGTCTCGGTCGCGACCGACGGACGCACAAGATGAGGGTCCCATACTGGATGTTGTGACCAAGACGCCGGCTCCGCCTCCTTCGCCCCCGGAGGGCGGAGCAGGCCGCGACGAATCGACACCGACATTAGCTCCGTCCACGCGGTCGCGGACGCCGGCTTAGCAGCAATCGTCACTCGACGCGATCTTGGCGACGCCTCCGCCGCCTCCAACACCGCCATGAGGGGGGGGCAGAGTGCGGCAGTCCATGACTCGATCAAGATCAACGCCAGGTGGAAGCGAGCCGAAAAAACGCATGTCACCAGACAACCAGTTCCCCCCTTATTCCGCCTCCGCCGCCAGCTCCGCCAGCAGCCGGAAAGGTTGCGATGACGAGGTCGCGGTCTCCATGGACAACGGCATCTACGCCAAATTTAGGGGCAGTGCGAACCCTTCCACCACCGCCAGCGCCACCAGCACCTCCAGCAGCAGTCAAGATTTCAGCCGCTCCGCGCTCTCGATCGCCGTGGTTGCCATCGCCGCGCGCCCCTATGGGGGCGGTGTTGCAAGGCGGTGGAACGCCGCCTCCCCCCCCGCAACTTTCGGCGCAGACAGTGGCAGCGCCGAGGTCCTCGCTCGCCGCCAGGGCCGAAGGCGACGCCCATCGCAGGCGCGACTGCAGCCGCCGGACCACCTGTCCCACTTCCATGCCAGCGATGGGATCTCAGGCGAACGTTTGGGATCTGGTGGGGGCTCCAAGACGAAAGGAGACCCGCGCTCGTCCACGGCGAGAGGCCGCCCCAGAGAAGAGGGGCCGCTTGGCGCAGGACGCGACTACGAGCAACGTGGGATCAGCCGCTTTCGGAGCCGGGGCCCAGGGCGAAGGGGTAGAAGTGCCTGCCCCCCCCGCTGCTCCTATGGCCGCGGTCTCGCCTGCGACCACCCGGCCCGACCCGATCCCAGCATCAGCTGCAGCCTCCGCCATTCCACCCTCGGCCGCGCGCGCGGGCGGAGCAGCTTGCGCAGGACAGTCCCAGCAGCACCAGCCTTTATTTCCGACGGCGGAGAACGCGGCGTTCCAGCCTGACACAGCCCGGGCGGCAGTCAGGGAGGAGGGGGGAAGCGACGATCGCGACGAAAAGGACTTCAAGACGTGGTTCGTTGAGATCAATGAGGCCGACAGCGATGAGGGCGATCTGTTTCCAGACGTGCCCTGCGAAGAGGATTCCGGAACGGGAGGGGGGGGGGTCGTTCCTGGCCGCCGACGAGCCTCTCAGCGCGATTTCGAAAGCATTCACCGACCTGAGCGTGCAAGACATGGCAAAACATGCCAGTGACATAGTCAACGCAAAGAAGCAGGAATTGACGAACCTCCATGATTTGGGTTGCTTCCGCAGGCTCCGGCGAAGCTTGGCGAATGATATCGTGGACGCCAGGTGGGTCTTGAAATAAAAGTACAGAGAGAACGCGCGCTTCATCGGGGCCCGACTCACGATGCGTGGGTTCGAAGACCACGACGAAAATTTGGCCATTTTCGCCGGCGCGGCAACTCGATGGTGCCAGCGCGTTGTGAACGCCATCGCAGCGCAGCAGGGCGGTTGGGCACTGTTCAGGTTCGACGTCAGCGCCGCTTCCGCGAAGGGCCTGGCTGTCCAAGAGCCTGTTGAGCTGATGGGCGAACCTCTTCGCGCGGTGGAGTTCGAGTTGCTGCCTGATGACATCAAGCTGCTGAGAGAGATTCCTGGATACGAGGACTTCAATCCCAGTGCAGAAGTCATCCGGGCGGTCAAGGCAGTGCGTGGCCTGAAAGACGCACCGCGAGGATGGCGCAAGAAATTGCAGTTGATCCTCGGAAGCTTCGGCGTGAAAGCCTTGTGCGCAGACCCGCAACTGTGCGTGCTCCACGGCGCGGGCGTCAAGCTTAACATGATTCTCAGTGCGCGCGTTGACGACTCGAAGGAACATGATTCTCAGTGCGCGCGTTGACGACTCGAAGGGTGGAGCTTTGAAAAAGGTAGCTATGGAGCTCCTCGAGCACTTGGAGTAACATGTGGGCACTTGCGGACGGGAGTGGGCCAACTCCATACACGTTGGCATCGAACATGTTACCAGAGCAGACGGCATCTACACGCGCCAGGAGAAGTATGTGGTCTCCTTCCAGGAGATCGCCAAGAAATTGCACGCTGATGTGCAAGACGAGCAGACCGTCATCGTCGAGGCGAGGAACCGCTAATTCCACGCCCCTTGACGGCGTTGCCTGGCTCTGCCTCGCAATTCCGGCCATTGCGGTGCACGTGCAGGCGCAGCAGTGACGCGGATCCGAACCGAGAGCACAGGAATTGAAGCGCTTGAACCTTGTCTTGTGCTGGGCTCGTCGGCACAAGGTCGGCATCCTGTTCAGGAAGCTCCCAGGACGCCTCCGACTTGTTGGGATCATGGATGCAGCCTTCAAAGCAATTCCGGGCGAGTCTTCTGGATTTGCACTCCGCGGCTGCGTCGCCATCCTTAACGTGGGCTGCGGTTCGAGGCCGGAATTTCCAAATTGGGCGTGTAGCATCGTGGATTTTCAGTGTCTGCGCCAACGCCGAGTAGTTCGGGCGACCTTCAGTGGCGAGCTGCATGGGTTGGCGGACGCCCTGGAGATTCTCCCGGTTATCCAGATATGCTTCCACCAGATCAACCACGGTTGTGCGGCCACGGCCAAGAGCTTGGCGGGCGACCTGGACAACGGGCGACTCCAACCTCCAGTTGACGCAGCAGCTGACGCCAGGAGCGTATTCGATTGCTTGGCCGCCACCGACGTGGGCGAACTCGTTGAGGGCAGTCTGAAGCTGCACGTTCTCTCTCTTAGGGAACGCCTGCAGTCTGGCACCCTGCGACGCCTCTTCTGGACGGACACGAGGGATATGTTGGCGGACGGCCTTACAAAAGGGTCAGGTCTTCGTGACCAGCTGATGGCTGCCAGCAACAGAGGCGAATGCCGTGCAGCGCACGCCGCGGCCAGCGCGGCCGTGTCGAACGGCCGCAAGCAGACCACCGGCAGCACAGTAGTCCGAAACATTTGAGGCAAGTGAAAAATTGTCTCACCACCTCCGGAGGCACTTGAAAAGTTGTCTCTGCACCACCGCTGGCAATTTGAAAGTTGCCGCACAGAGAGTCGCATTTGCGCCAGGGGAGCTCCGGCGAGAACGGCGGCCCTGCAGTGAAGATGCGTAGGGTTCCCGGCATAGAAATGTGCCTGTAGCAAAGACCTGTCTAGGTCAACCCCTGCATGGGAACGTGTAGGGTCAGACGCGAAACGGTGTCTGCTGAGGGGTGTGATTCGTAGCACTGACAGTCGCGATATAGGATGTCTGTGTAAAATTAACAAGCAGCCAGCAGTCATGACATAGACTGCCTCGCCTGTCTCTCTCTCTCTCTCGTTCTCTTCCTCGTCCTCCTCTCCCTTCTGCCTATCGTGAGAATGATGTCACGAAGCAGGTGCTAGAAATGAGGTGTCACGTGATAGGTATCAGCTGTGCGCAATAATCTCCATAGCAGCAGTGTGGGTGTTATCCTAGGTAATTGCCGGAGAACAGCTAGGCGGGGCAAGATATATTCTGCCACGAGCAGGAGTGTGGGCATTGAAAAGCCTTCACGTTCCCCACAGAAGGTATCGCGGTATAGATGTCGGTTTCACTGACCAGGTTTTCGACCGGTCCTCTTTCACAGTTTTCCGGAGCGCGGAGGCCAGGCGCCAAGCAGGAAGAGAGTATTTTGGAATTTCTGCAGCCCCGCCCCCTCATCGCAGTGCTTGGCAGCCCCCCCTCCCGCGCGCCGCCGCTTGTTCGAGCTTCGAGTACAAACCACTCTTCAGGAGTACTGCAAATGCAATCTCTCACACCCGATTTCTTTTCACATCTTACTTTATTCCCATTCTTGTTATACATCCCCTTCTTCTTGGAGATCATCCTGGGAGGTCTTCTCTCCTAAGCGCCGGCTGGCGCTTCATTTTTTAAATAGAAAAATGTTGAACGAATGTGCGCGGTGCTAAGGCAAGAGCCACATTGTGAAAACCACCCGCCCTCAATCCGTGAAGCTCTTATAACTGTCCAGAACGAATGTGTGCGGCGCTAAGGCGGCAGCAACATTTTGAAAAGGAGCCGCGCCTTCCATCCGTGACATTCTTGCACATTTGAAACGAATGTGCGCGGCGCTAAAGCGCAAACCACTTTGTAAAAAACACCCGCCTTCCATCTGGGAAGAAAGTCGCAGGCGAAACGCCCGGCTTGCCCTATCGACTGACTTCGGGTTGCGACAGGGAAGAGATGTTGATAAGGAAGAGGATTGGAGGATGAGGAGGAGGAGGAGGAGGAGGAGGAAAAGGAGGAGGAGGAGGAGGAGGAGGAGGAGGAAGAGGAGGAGGAAGGGGAGGCACGAATGCTCCCGGCGGCGTGGCGCCGATCAGGTGGGCTACCAGATTCGCTTCATCAACAAGTTCTCCGAGAACACCCGGCTGATCTACGCCACCACGGCTGCCGACCCCCCCTGCCCCACAGGACCTTCGAGCCCATTCGGCGTCTGAGCCCCTTCGGCGGCGGAGTGGCCGGAGTCGGGCCCATTCGGCTGCCGAGTGGCCGTGCTTCCACCACCCTCCCGGAAATGAGCCCGTCCGGTGGCCGAATGGACTCAAACGCCGAACGGGCTCAGAGAAAAACCGTGGGGTTCTCTGCTGACGGACATCGCTCTTCACAGGGCTCGTTGGGGGCGCCCATATGCAATTGCTAGAGGAGGAGGAGGAGGAGGAGGAGGAGGAGGAGGAGGAGGAGGAGGAGGAGGGAGGAGGAGGAGGAGGGAGGAGGAGGGAGGAGGAGGAGGAGGAGGAGGAGGAGGAGGAGGAGGAGGCTTGGGCCTCCGAATAAGTCCAGGAACCTCTCGGGACGTCTTGATGCCGAGCTGCTGCTCTCCCCTCCCGCTGCGGCTTCGGCGCCTTCCCTCCCCGTACTCTTGTCTCCCTTCCCCCTGTGCTCTGTGCTTGCGCCCTCCCCCTGCCGTGGCGCCGCGTAGCGTGGCAGCGGCGGGCGCGCTTGAACGCACGCGTGCAGCACCGATGTGTGCTCTGCCTTTGTGATCGCAGGTGCTCCAGGCACTTCCACGGGCCTGCCCGTGACCCGTGCGCCACGCCGCGACGCTCTCAGTGGTCCGTGTCTGCCCGTTGCCGCCCGCCAGAGGCTTCGGCCTCTCCGTCCTGCCCCCTCCTCGACATGTGCTGGAGGGAGGGAGGGGGGAGGAGGGGGTGGCGGAGGAGGAGGAGGACTCGGCATCGCTCGGACGTGTGCGTTTTTTTTTATCGGCGAGGAGCATCGAGGAGCATCTAGGATCATCGCGCGAACAATACGCGCGCAACACCAAACAACGCACACGGGGAATGGACGTCCGAGCGACGGTGAGAGGAGCAGGAGCAGGAGGTTGGCCATGCAGGGGGGGGGAGCCCATGGTTTCTGGGCAGGGAGGGACTGCGGACCTGCCCGAGGCCATTGTGCTCAGGCGACTGCACAGCGAGCCGACGCTGGACAGCATCGGCTGCCTCATCATAGATGAGGCAGGTCGGCCGGCAGAGTGACGGCTCTAGGGCAGGGATTTCAAGCAGAGGGAGTGGCGGTCGATCGACAAACCCTCAGCACCCTGCGCGGGGGTTGGCTCCCAAGTCCTTCTGCTCCTCCTGCTCCTTCTGTTGATCCCCCTCCCCTCTCTTCCGCAGCGCGCATGCTTTGCAGACGGCCATCGCTCTGGATCAGACGCGTTCTCCTCTGCACCTTCTCCCCCACCAGTGCCAAGCATGAATGCTACTCTTTCCCCCCTCGCCCCTGGTACAGTCGATTATGGGGGCCGTCTCTCCAACGCATTGTTTTTCACAAGGTATGTCGACGCGCCGCTTGTGCGACGCGCGGCCTTGCGCCTAGGGGAGGTCGCCGCGGCCACCAGGGCAAACTCCGCTTCGGACGCGGTGGGCTCGCCGTGGGCTTGCCGTGGTGTGGGTGCGCCGGGAACAAACGGCGCGGCGACACACCAAACTCTGTTCGGTCGGGCCGCCTTCGGCATGGTCTTCCCGTCGTGGGCACGTAAGACTTGATTGCGCCAGAATTTGGGTTTGCCGATACTTTTTCACGAGCGCGTCAAATCTTGGAGTGGGCATCGTCATTTTCATGATGGCCCAGTCAGGCCAACCCGAGTTCCCCGAACCCGAATCTTACGTCTCCCCAGCTCCTGTGCGATTTCCCGCTCGGATCGTCTTCAGTCGCTCGTCTCCGGCCGTCCCGATTAGCGCTCTCGCCTCTGCGCCTGCCGCGCTCCTGCTCCCCTCGGCGGTTGCTCAATATGGATACTACCTATACGACCACCCTTCGGGTGATAAGGAGGTTCGGGGGGGGGAACCAACGTCTCACTTGATCGGTCTCACTATCGATCTCAGTATCGATCTCACTATCGGTCTCGCTCGATCGATCTCACTCGATCGATCTCACAGTGGATCTCACTCGATCTATCTCATTCGATCGATCTCACAATTGATCTCACAATCGATCTCACAATCGATCACACAATCGATCTCACATTCGGTCTCAATATCGATCTCACTATCGATATCACAATCGCTCTCACAGTCAACGTCATCATCATCATCATCATCAACATCATCAGCATCAACATCATCACCAACATCGTCATCATCATGAGGGCACCGTCATCATCATCATCATAAACATCATCATCAACGTCAGCATCATCATCGGGATAACATCATCATCATCAACATCGTCATCTCATCATCAACATCATCATCATCATCATCATCGGGACACAGTCATCGTCATCATCATCAGCAGCATCATCAGAATCATCATCATAATCGGGACACCATCATGATCACCATCGTTCTCATCATCAACATTATCATCAACATCGTCATCATCCTCGGGACACCATCATCATCATGATCATCGCATCATCATCATCATCGACATCATCATCAACAACATCATCATCATCATCATTGGGGCACCATCATCATGAGCAACATCATCATCAACATCGTCAGTATCATTATTATCATCATCGGGACACCATCAGCATCACCATCATCATCACCAACATCATCATCATCATCAGCAGCAGCATCATCGGGACAACATAATCATCATCAACATCATCATCATCATCATCATTATCGCCGGGACACCATTTCCATCAACATCATCATCACCAACATCATCGGAATCATCATCATCATCATCATCAACATCATCATCGGGACACCATCATCGTCATCATCATCAACATAATCATCATGAGCATCATCATCCTCATCATCGGGACACTATCATCATCATCGACACCATCATCACACATCATCATCATCTTCATCGGGACACCATCATCATCATCTCATCATCATCATCATCATCATCATCATCATCATCATCATCATCATCATCATCATCATCATCATCATCCTCGCGGGACACCGCGGGACACCGGCGGGACACCGCGGGACACCGCGGGACACCGCGGGACACCGCGGGACACCGCGGGACACCGGCGGGACACCGCGGGGCCCCGGCCGCCCGGAAGGGAATCATTTGGTCCGGCCGCGCCTCAGCCACACGGGACACCAGCGGGACACCGGCGGGACACCGCGGGGCCCCGGCCGCCCGGAAGGGAGTCATTTGGTCCGGCCGCGCCTCAGCCACAGGAGACTTTCTCTCGCCCGCCCACGCAGCTTCGCCTCGCCCGCACGGCACGCACGAACACGAAACCGAAATCGATTTCCCGGTAGGGGGGCTCTCCGTTCCACTTCGATCTCACCCCCCAACCTCCGACCCTTCCGCTGCTCAGCTCAGCCACGCGCAGAGGGGGGAAAAGTGCGAAGGAGAAGGCCTTCTCAGAAGGCGGCGGGACTTCTCTGAAGCCCTCGCGCGTTCTGAGAGGTTTTCCGTGTCTTCGGGGAAGGCTCAGGAAATTTCTCAGAAGGCCCGGGGACTTCCGAGCCTTCTGAGAAGGCCCGCCCCTTCTCACTTCCCCCCCTCGCTCGCCGCCGATCAACATTCAGGAGCGTCTCCGACCCATCCCGCAACCGTGGCTGGGCTGAGGATCAGAGACCTCCTTGGTGCACATGAGGGTCTCTTTGGATGGCCCTCGGGAGACTCTTGGAAGGGTCTCGGGGGCGTCGCGGGGGCCGTAGGGGCCTCCTGTGTCTCTTCAATTGCTCAACATTTAGAGGGGGAAAACGACACACACACACACACACACATAAGCGTCGATTCCCATAAAAGTAAGGGAAACAATGGGAAGTGTGTTGGGGGGAAAAAAGAAATTCCAGAAGACGTGAGAAAGTAGGGGGGATCCTGGGATCTGTTTTTTTTGTGTGTCCCTGGGCCCCTTTAGACATGAATACTATTCTTCCCTCTCTCGTACGATACTGCCCAGGGCGGGGGCCACGGTGAATGCAGCTGCGCCGCCGCCTCCGGAGAGGGTTTCCCAGGACCCGCGTGTTACCCAGAAGGGCCGAGGCCCTGAAGGCGCGGGGTGCCTCGCGGCGCTCAACGGTGTCGTAATCGTCGTCGTGGTCGTCGTCGTGGTCGTCGTCGTCGTCGTCGCCGTCGCCGTCGTCGTTGTGTAGTCCGTCGTCGTCGTCGTCGTCGTTCTCATCGTGGTCCTCGTAGTCGTCGTCCGTCGTCGTCGTCGTCCTCGTCGATTAGTCCGTCGTCGTCGTCGTTTTTTAGTCCGTCGTCGTGGTCGTCGTCGTGGTCGTGTAATCCGTCGTCGTCGTCGCCGTTGTCGTCGTTGTCGTCGTCGTCGTCGTTCTCGTCGTCGCCGTTATCGTCGTCGTGTAGTCCGTCATCGTCGTCGTCGTCGTCGTAGTCTTGCCACTTTCGCCGGTTCCGTCGTCGTCGTCGTCGTCATTGTCGTCGTCGTCCTCGTCCTCGTCCTCGTCCTACTGTCTCCGTCGTCGTCATCGTTGTCGCCGTCGTCGTCGTCGTCGTCGTCGTCGTCGTTGTGTAGTCCATTATCGTCGTCGTTGTCTTCTGTAGTCTGTCGTCGTCGTCGTCCTCGTTGTGGTCGTCGTCGTCGTCCTCGTCCTCGTCCTCGTAGTCGTGGTCATCTAGTCCGTCGTCGTCGTGGTCGTCGTCGTGGTCGTCGTCCGCATCTTCATCGTCCTCGTCGTCGTCGTCGTCCTCGTCCTGGTCGTAGTCGTCTTCGTCGTCGTCATGGTCGTCGTCGTGGTCGTCGTCATCGTCGTCGTCGTCTTCCTCGTCCTCGGCGTCGTCGTCGTCGTCTTCGTCTTGGTCGTCGTCGTCGTCGTCGTTGTGGTAGTCATCGTCGTCGTCGCCGTCGTCGTCGTCGCCGTTGTCGTAGTCGTGCAGTCAATCGTCGTCGTCGTCCTCGTCGTCGTTGTCGTCGTCGTCCGCGTCGTCGTTGTCGTCTTCGTAGTCGTAGTCGTAGTCGTAGTCGTCGTCGTCGTCGTCGTTCTCGTGGTCGTCGTCGCCGTTGCCGTCGTCGTCGTCTTCGTCGTCGTCGTCGTGGTAGTCATCGCAGTCGTCGTCGTAGCCGTCATCGTTGTCGTCGTCGTCGTGGCTGTCGTCGTCGTCGCCGTCGTCGCCGTCGTCGTGTAGTCCAACGTCGTGGTCGTCGTCGTCGTCGTCGTCTTCGTCGTCGCTGTCGTCGTCATCGTCGTCGTGTAGTCCATCGTCGCCGTCGTCGTCGTCGTCGTCGTGGTAGTCGTCGTCGTCGTCGTCGTCGTTGCCGTTGTCGTCGTCGTCGTCGTCGTTGCCATCGTCGTCGTCGTCGCCGTCGTCGTGTAGTCCAACGTCGTCGTCGTCGTCGTGTAGTGCGTCGTCGTCGTCGTCGTCGTCGTGTAGTCCGTCGTCGTCGTCGTCATCGTCGTCGTGTAGTTCAACGTCGTCGTCGTCGTCGTCGTCCGCGTCGTCGTCGTCGTCGTCGTCGTCGTCCCCGTAGTCGAAGTCGTAGTCGTAGTCGTCGTCGTAGTCGCCGTCGACGTCGTCGTCGTCGTCGTTGTCGTCGTGCTCGTCGTCCTTGTCGTCGTCGTCGTCGTCGTCATCGTCGTCGTCGTACTCGTCGTCGTCGTCGTGTAGTCCGTCGACGTGGTAGTCGTCGTCGTTGTCGTAATCGCCGTCGTCGTTCTTGAAGTCGTCGTCGTCGTCGTCGTCGTCGTTGCCGTCGTCGTCGTTGTCGTCGTGGTAGTCATCGTCGTTGTCGTCAACGTTGCCGTCGTTGTCGTCGTCGTCGTCGTGGCCGTCGTCGTCATTCGCGTCGTCGTCGCCGTCGTCGTGTAGTCCGTCGTCGTCGTCCTCGTTGTCGTCGGCGTCGTCGTTCTCGTCGTCGTCTTGTAGTCCGTCGGCGTTGTTGTCGTCGTCGTCCTCGTCGTCGTCGCCGTCGTGGTCCTCGTAGTCGTAGTCGTCGTCGTCGTCGTTGTCGTCGGCGTCGTCGTCGTGGTCGTCGTCGTGGTCGTCGTCGTCGTCGTCGTCCTCAGTCGTCGGCGTCGTCGTCGTCGTCGTCGTTGTGTAGTCCGTCGTCGTCGTCGTC